AAGAACTTGTTGTTGTGCTAAGACAACATTAACAAAAACACCACCACTGCCAAAAACAACAACGATGACAACAAATACAGTCAGTATGGAGTTTCTTTCTCTCTTTAAATCTTCAAAGGACAGTCAAATGTGAATCAGTGAGATAGTACTTACCTCTTCAATGAAACACAAGAAAGGCTCATTTTTCAAGCCTTCACTGTAGTATGCATGTAGGATTTTAGTGGCCGCTAAGATGCTGAGAGTTGCTCAGAACAACCCAAATTTTCTGACATTTTTATTTAGAAGAGAAAATGAGTAAATGAAAGCAAATTAGGTCTAAGAATATGATTAACTCTAATTACTCTTCAGTGGTTGCTTTCTTTTTATGACAATAAAAACTATAACAGTATTTGCTCTTATGTTTCTAAAAATTGTAGTCATTATTTATAAACTGGTTTATGATTAAGTAGCATTTTCATGTTTAAAGAAGATTAATGCCCATCCTTCTTTTGGTATAACAAGGTTATACCAGATAAAGCCCAACTGTCGAGTAGAAATAACTCTTTTAGCTTGTTAATATATCCCCTTCCAGAATTTAAAACACATACATACCACTCACATGTTTGTATATTTTTCCCTTTAATGAGATTCACATCATTTTAAAATATTCTTTAGAATGTGCTTTTACTTTTCCTTGGTTTTATTCAGTGTTTTATACTTTCTTCCACTTGATTTAAAAAAAAATTAAATCAAGTTCTCTTTATTAACCAAAACTTGTAAATTATTATCCTTTTGCTCTTAAGATTTTAAAAATATGCTAATCCTTTATACTGCACTATTTATACTGCATTATTCCAGTCTACATACTCTCTGTCAATAACTTGTCAATGCAAATTCCAATGAGAAATTAAAATATAGCCAATATTATTCAGGCTACACTAAATATTTTCAAATACTATACTACACAACAAAGAAGCAAATAACTTTTATGCTTTATGTTGTGTATATACATATTCTTATATTTTTCTATATACCAGTATTATAATTTAGGGGGAAACACATTTTTATTTAAATTGTATTTACCAATATGCATAGGAATATTTCAGGATAAACTTGTATTACCGTGATTTATCTTATCAAACTTTACAAGGGAAGTATTTTAATATACTAATCAGGCATTTCTCTGCTTTAATGTGATTTTGTCACATCACAAGATAAATCTGAGAAATTAAAATAAAAGCAAAAAGAACATTTCTATAAATCTCAGTGAAGGTTTAAAAAAGATGAGCTATGGAGCCATCAGAAAACATGACTGGTTTTTAGCTATATCATTTTAATTTATCCTTTGAAGAAAATCCAAATTCTACTACTAAAGAGGTGGAATCATATAATAAGAAACATAAATGTCATTCAGAATTCAAGGAGTGCATATAAAGAATCCTGCTATTCCAAACAATTTGTATACAATGGGTTATTCTAACTCATTGGGGCATTGAATAACTCAGTAAGAAAAATTAGAATTTTCCACCAGAGTTTTTTTTTCCTTATAATTGCATGCTCCTGGACACTACACTGGATGGATATATAATTTATTCATAGGCCCTATAGCTTGTCAGAAATGGAGATAATAACATATGTTACACGATAGATGAATTATTCCTTGACTTGTGACCACTCATTCAGGTTTCTTGAATCTAGAGAAATTTAAGGTAAAAAATGTAAAACAAATTTTGTCAAATAATTAAATTCTTACCAAGTTGACCAGTAATACTGATGTAGGCTACTAAAGTAAGGAGATTTTTTACCATGTGTAAATTTATGAAAGATTATGAAGCCACTTAAACAAATCATAAGACATCTTTCTAGACTTATTTTACAAATTCTGTTCAATTAGCAAATGTAAAGTTCCTGACAAAAGTTACAAAATAAATATTTATTGGGTGAATACTGTATTTCCCTGAAAATAAGACCTAACCAGAAAATAAGCCTTTACCTGATTATTCAGGATGCTCACAAGTCTTACCCAAAAATTAAGCACAGTGAATATCTTCAGCCATACAAGCACATTTAGTATATCTGTTGCAACACACGACAGATGTATGGAATTATAAAATAATATTACTGTATAATAATATTGATATTACTTACATGATAATCTAAATTATAACTATTTGTAAATACCCAAGTAGATGTTTTTAGAGGAAACAGAGACACCTATATGAAGAGATGAGCTGGAGACCTATTGCTGAATAATGAATCACAGTACAGACAACACCTGAATAATGTGAACATTTGATAATTAATAGATGTGGTCGTGTCTCATGAATTTTCATAATTCAATACATCATGTGTTGTAATGGACATACTTAATGCACTGGTGAAATACAAAGTTTTTTCTGAATTTTGTCCTGCAATTTAATTTTTCATCGCTTTTATGTGCATCAGTATTTTTTTTTCCTTTTTGAGACAGGGTCTTGTTAGGTGTTTTAGGCTAGCCTCCAGCTGACTTTGTAGCCCAGGCTGGCCTCAAAATTTGCAACGATTCTTCTGCTTCAATTTATTGAATGATGGGATTACAGATGTGTGCCACCATGCCCAGTTTGGATCAGCATTCTTAACTGTCATCATTTTTGTTGCCAGTCCTGTCTTGTAAGGCCCTAATTCACACTTGATTTAGAGAAAGTTAGCAAAGCCTAGCCTGCAAGAGGTTATGATGTGTGGGAAGAATTCATGGGATAAAATCACTGATAGCAGTGTTGCCAATGCACTAAAAGCAGACTTCATGGACAAGAAGTGCTCATTTATTAAAGACAGCTGTATTGCTGGACATGAAATATTGGGGTGAATGGTTCTACAGGAAATGGAGAAGCAAGAAATTTAGGCTGAAATTTAGGGGTTAGTTATAACAGTGTTATACAAGAAGATGGCATAGCTGTACATTTTTGTTCCTGAATAAATTTATGTTGTTGTACATGAAAATAAGCCCTAATGCATTTTTTGAGTAAAAATCAAGTAAGTTTTGGTCTTATGGGGGTCTTATGGGGGGGGGTGGAACACGGTAGGTATCTCTCTGAAGCAGTATATGGGGCTTTGAGTTAGATGTAAGAAATGATAAATGATAAAGAAATATGGAATCAGCTCCGAAGGAGCTTATCATTGAAAATGTAAGATATGTACATAGGAAATATGCTGTTATATATATATATATATATATATATATATATATATATATATATCCTGTAAGGAAGTGATAGGCGTCTTTCAAGAGAGCTGAAACACTGTCCTGTGGGTGTCAAAGGAGAGAGATCACAGAAGAGGCAAAGTTTGAAGCAGGCTTGGAAGAAGGTACAATGATTTGAATCTGAAACCTGAAATAAACATTTAAGGACAGGCGTAGGTGTGGAGTGTCACAAAGGTGCGCAAATGCTGTTTAATGGGAAGCCAAGAAATATTTGAAAATAGAGAACTGTTACCTCCAGGCTTGTGGACACCGGCAGAGCCATCTGCAGTGTGTGTGAACTGCCCTGGAGGTTGGAGCAAGTACAGAGAAGGGATCGGACTTCAACAGATCTCTGGAAATGTAGAGCCAGGGGTGGGAACAGGCTAGACTCTGATGAAGACTTGAGATCCTGGGCTTTTCTCGCTAGTGTTCCCAACTGAGAAGCCCTAAAAGAGGCACGGCAGAGGGCCAGAGCAGGTTCTACTGGAGTGTCATGGTATCAGAAAGACCAATTTCCATGTCAAACATCCCCCTCAACGTTTGAAATCTCAAAAAGACCACTCACCACAAAGTAAGGCCCATCAAGAGGTAAGAAGTCAAGTGTGGAGAATCTGAAAGGAATGTGCATTCCTGTGTACATCACAATTAAAACAAAAGTAATTATTAAATGGAGAACATGTAAAACCGAGTGCATTTCGACTTACTTTAACTTCCATATTTCTTGAACTAAAGAAATTCTGAGGTCCCAAGTTTAAACATTATCATATGCTTGCAATATGTGTTTTTCAGTTACCTTGTTTTCTTCAAAGCCCTATAGCTGTCAGGTTGTCTCTATTTCCACCTGTTAAGGAGCACTACAGCCGAACAGTGGTAAGGCCCAGTGCTGGTTCAAGTTCCGTGTCCTCACCTGAATGTGAGGAAGGGGCTGGGTGTCCACTCTGAGACCTCACTAAGCAGACATTTGGCATAGGTAAAGCTGCTAAGTAGATGGTCAAAGAAAGCAAGGCAAGGTTTGAATAGCGCCCCCGTGGGAAGCCAGATTTAAGGCTGCCGACGACCCAGCTTTACCCTCAAGCCAAAAGCGAGGTAATTTGGGCTAGTGATGGTCCCCCAAGTAGAGCTAGAAGTGTCAGGAAGAAAGTCCAATCTTATCTGCGCTCCAGTTCTCCTGGAAGCTCCTTCTCTGGCAACCTAGCCTGCCTGCATCATTCAGGAGCCAGCTGTCTTCGCCCGGGTCCCCAGAGTTCAGTAGCCGGCCCTGGGTCACAGCCCGGTAGGGGCCAGACGAGGGAGAGCCCCGCAGCTGGAAGCGGAAGGGCGCAGGGAATCCCGCGAAGCCTCCGGGGCTTTCCCGGCCGTCGAAAGCGTGGCGGTCGCGGGGCTGTGGTCCTTCGCCCGGTGCCACCAGGTTGAGCGGCAAAGCGAAGCAGGTGGGTGTGGAGCCGGGCCGAGACTGCGGGGAGCGCCGGGCTCGCAGCAGCCGAGAGGGAGGCGCCCGTGGAGGTGTGGGCGGTGCCCGCCCGCGCCCTGGCCGCGCCCTGGGCACCGGCGCTCCCTTCGGCCGAAAGGTTCGCTCTGGGGCCGCGAGGCCGAGGCCGAGGCCCGCATCCCCTCAGGTGCCCGCCGGCGCACGGCCCGCCGCCCCACCTGGCCGCCCACCTCGAAAGCCGCGGGCGCCCGGGAGGAGGAGGAGGAGGAGGAAAAAGAGGAGGAGGAAGTGAAGCGCGAGCAGAGAAAGAGGAGGCGGCGGCCGCTGCTCCAGCCGCGAGTGCGCGGAGCGCGCGCGGCGGGAGGCTGAGGTGGCCGCGGGCGAGTGTGCGCGCCGGGCCGGCGAGCCGCGGGGCGGGGGACGGCGCCCCCAAGCGCCCCGCCTCGCCTCCGGCGCGCAGCCTCTCGCCGCTCCTCCACAGACAGACACACACCCACCGTCCGCCCGAGCGCCCGCCGCCCCCGCCGGCCGCCGCCGCGCCTGGGCAGCCGGAGCGAGCGGCAACTCCGCGGCTGGCGCGGTCTTCTCTCCGGCTCCTTCCCCGCGGAGAGCTCAGCCGCGCCGGATTTTTCCTTCTCTCTCCCAGCGCTCTCCTGACTGAGTGGTGGTGGCGGCAGGGGGATGGGGGCCCCGTGCGGGGAAGGGGGTGAAGATCCACGAAGATTATTGTTCTTTTAAAGGATGCCTTAGCTTCTTCCCGCCGCCTCTCCTTTGAGCCTTGCTACTAGAGACGGTGCACCAGAGTCAGGGATGTGACCAGAGGGGGAAAACAAACGCCAGGAGCTCCAGCCAGCCGGGGAGACCCTCCTCTCCGTGGAGGGGAGGGGGAGTTCCAGCGACAGATCATTGGCGAAGGGACCGTCGCAGGGAGAGCAGCTTTGGAGGGAGCGGGGAATCCCACATCCCTTTGTGGCGCCCGAGCCAGTGCCGCCCGCTGAGCGGGGTCTCTGGGAGCTAGGTAAGTGGCGGGGAGCTTCGCCGCTCTCCGCGGGGTCTTCCCGTAAGAACGATCCTGTAAGAACGAGCCTAGCCAGACTGGAGTTGCTAAAGGAGCTGGAAACTGCCATATGGCGCCCAGTGGACTTACACACAAAGCGGACTTAACCCTGACAAGGTTACTGGAGTAACCTTAACCCACTGAGTGTTAGCCCCCCGAAAAGCTTCCCAGCAGCCTGACTGGGAAGGGGTGGGAAATATTTATTTCTAGGAGACAGCTCTCGTTGCCTTCTGTTCATTTGATGGTAAATGCCACACTCACATGCACACACTTGTGGGACTGGATTAGGTAGGGAGAGTGATGTCTCTGTTGCATGCACAGTCCTAGGAACACAGACATGCATGCGTTTTATTCCTCAGACGGTGCGCAGTCTTGGTTCTTGAGGGCGAAGAACAGATCTCTAAGGAAAGCTTTATGGTTGTTTCCAACACACTCTGCTGGGGGACTTGGGAATAGTTGCCCTGAATGACACCAATTTGCTTCCTCATTTGCTCTCAAGGCTTAAAAACCTTTTCACAATAGTATGTTGCTATCCATTTTGTCGAATTAGGAGCATTTGTGGGTATCCATTCATAAAAATAGTTAGGTCAACTGCACAAACATGCCATTTAATGCAATATTTATGACTGCACAAGTGTTTTGAAAGTATAATAATAAAGACAAGATTGTACTGGAAAATTTAGTAGGCATAGCCATACACTGGATTAATTTCATTCAGGTACAACATTTCTTCTAATCAAGTTATGCAACACGTTCAATATTTTAAATAGCTTCACGTTTCTATTTTTACATTAAATGGCTTTTGGATTTTGTGCAGAATCTTTTTTTTAAAAGCCCAACTCAAAATAAAAGTACGCATTTTAGTGTCACAGTTTTAAAATGAATAGTATTGTATGGGACCGAGAGCTCTTAGTTTATTACCTGTAAACTTCAATCAAGATACTATGTTTCATAGGCAAATGAAAGGTTTCTGTCAGATCTAGTCCAACCTGTCAGTGTAGAAAAGATTTTGAAAGAAGGTAATAGTTTAATAAATAGTAGATAGATGGATAGACAGAACTACGTATACTTATATAAAGTTTTATCTGTTTCACTCTTTAGGTATGTGTGTGTATGAGGAGGTGTGTGTGCATATGTATGAATAAAGTTGTCCAAAGCTTAGCTTATGATGCTTGAATAAAACCTGAGACATCTAGAGGGTTCTTTGTCCTTGAATTAACCAAAGCTTCACCCACAGCTTGGCACTGTATACATGTGTATGGATTTCATTGCTGCTTGAACTGGTGTTTTTAATGTGTAATGTGAATAAAGTGCTTATTGATGTGGCTACACAGACTTTCTGAGAATATTGAAGGCCCAATGCAAAAATGTTCCTTTTAATGTATCTGAAAGGATCCTCATCACCAAAGGAGTTAATATGCACTCTTAATGAAAATCTTGTAAGTCCTGCTCTCATTGGGTTGCATAGAGTTCAGACCAGTTGTTTATCACAACTAGGATTGTCTGATGCACTCTTCTCTCTAGTCTGGCACTCTTCAGACTTTTGGAGAAACGAGTGAATCATTTGGCAGCGTACTTTGCTTCCTTCTTTCCTTCACTTTCACCCTTCTCTCCTTACGTTACTGTCCCAAATATCCATCATACACAAACACACACACACAATGACTTCAGAAAATAACTCCATGGCCTGTCACTTTGAGAGTTCTCATTCTGACATCTTACTTTTCTATATTGCCTCTTTTCTCGTTTTTTGGAGAGAAACAATCCATGCATCAGTTGAAACTATTTCCAAATTCATTTTTCACAAAATCCCACAGTTTGATTTTTCATGCATACTTATCTACTGAATATCCAGATGAGATTGATAGAAATTATTATTTCATCCGTGCTTTGTTTTGCTTTTAAAACTTTCTCGATGCCATGAAGTTACTGTGAACATTAACCTGCCCTTATAGTTTTCACTATGATAATAAAAGTAAAAATGCTAGGAAAGATAGAAAAAAAGAGCAGGATATGGTTTCAGTCACATTTCTTGACAACTTAAAAGCACATCTGAGCAGATTTTTGGTATTTGTAACTGTATATCTGTAAATGTGTATTTGTGGAGCATTGAAAAATGTATTTTCTTCAATGTGTTTATAACACGTTAAAATGATATTACAGAGAGACTGGTATGTGTATATACATATTATGAAAGTAGATCAAGTGATTGGGAAAATCAGGAAACTTACGCTTCATTCCACCCCAATGGGTATTTTTTGATAAAGAAATAATTATTTTCTGGAAATTCTCTGTCTCTTAGAGGTTAATTCCTAAGGAAAATTGTTAAAGTTAAAAAGAAATCTATGTGCGTTCAAAGCTAAATAGATATTTTAAGATAGTCTTTATTCCTGAATATATTATCATTAGAAAATTACATTCATCAAGTGGAATTTGCATAAAAGTGTGATGCCTGTTATTTTCACAAGGACTTCAGAGGAGTTAAGTGTACAAATGTGTATTATGTGAAGTTTTGTTTGTTTCTTTTTTTTAATTCTGAGGGTTTTTTTTAAAGGATTAGTCTTTATGGCACTGTTACTCCCAAAGTGATAAAATAAATTTTATACAGCCGAGCATCTTAAATTTTTTAGTCATATCCTAGAAGTATCTTCACAGTCTAGATCTGTAGCTTATTCTATTTTATTGCTTATTTCCTCCCTGTGCTTCTTAGATATATGTTCTTGCTCTTTACTGCTAGTGTAGGTTGTTAGATATAAAGTAGCACATGAGACCGTTGACCCATGAGGCTAAAGCCTTCTGTAATATCTTGAAAAGTGACTGTTTCTAAAGGTTGAATTGTACCTACCTTTATTATCTTATTTAATCCATGTAGCTACTCCCTAACTCATTCATTAATTCATTTATTAGTTATTAAATATGCATAAGAAGAGTGCTTGACCAGAACTAACAAATGCAGAAGGTACAAGAGACAGTCCTTTCCCTCAAGGATTTTTCATTCTGTAAACAATTCAAGATAACTTTGAATTACTAATTGAAAAGTTGTAGTTGTAGTTCACAATGAGAATTCTCTTTCATACAGAAACACATTTAGAAATTTCATATTTAATGTTAATTAAGATAAACTCATGGAGAGCATCATGAAAATTTGTCACAGTCTATACATTTGGGAATTATTAGAAAATAACAGCAACAACCATAATACTACATTTGATTAAAATATATAATTTTAGATTTAAGTTAAATTAGAATATTATAAATCAAAATATTTATACTATTTGCATAATATTGTAGCCAACACTTAGTTGAACTAGATATTGTTTTAAACATTTTGTAAATGGTATTTTTATCTCACAACCACTCTATGATACAATAAATGTATCTTAATTACATAGATATGAAAAATAATGTTTAGAAACATTTCTTAATTTGTCTAAGGGCACATGGGAAATAAATGTTAAAGTTCAGCTTTAACCCAGGTGTTCTGGCTCCACTCGAACCATTATGATATTAAGGAGTATTGGGAAGAATGATCATGAACACAATAAGAAAGGTGTTTGCAGTTCCTAGATTTATTTGGGAGCTACATCTTCTCATGAAAGGAGAGCATCTTTATCACGACAGGGGGTTGTTTAGGAATGGCCAAAAGTAATGACTTTTTTTTAAGTAGGAGAAAACTCCCAAATTTTCAACAGAAATTTAAAGTAAGATAGGTTAGAGACTGATTTTTCAGATGTGAGTTTTCATCAGAATTGTAACACCTTAGAGCATTACTAGCCTTATTTTGACTATAAGAATGAGATCACCTGACACAGATGGCCTAATGGGTAAATTTCTGATGGTAGTTCTTTCTGTCCCAGTTTTTGTTTAAATTTTATGAATTACAGTATAGTGTTAGAAATATTTTAGTTATGTGTCATATTATAAAAGCAAATTACCAGATTTGGAGTTTAATTTTCTTTTATGTATGTCCCATATTTTTACTCTATAAAACATAATCCCAATATTTTAATGGAAATTGAAATATAGTCACTTAGTGGATTTACTTCTTAGTATACTTTTAGAATGCATTTAATTTATTACATGGCAAATAACTAATAAAATTGTGAAAGCATAAATCAACTTATACATGAGATTTTCATTAGGAAAACTGTATGTGATATTTCAAGTACAGCTCTTTCTAAACAGCTCCTGTTCCTGTTTATGTGAAAAATACCATCTGAATTATTGCCTAAAGGATGCCATAGGGTCAAATGCTTAAGACACATCTTTATGAAAAATTGATATTTTTGTTTTTTGCACAGATGTGAGTTCTCATAGGCTAAGTGACATTGTGTGCCAACTTTCAACGCTTGGCTTAGTATAAAAGTTCACTTCAAAGCTTACATATGCTTCTTCATAAAAACTGGCCTTAAAAATGATATTTAGTTTCTCAGACTAATCAATCAAAGCCCTTTTAATCAATAATATACCTGAATTATAATATTCGTGATACTTAAAAAACATTGACTCCAGTGATATTCCTGGGGAATTATTTGATCTGAATAATGCTTATTAACAAACACCCTCTTGTTGAGTCTCTTGAGATGCATAGGTGTATGTGGTACTTCCTAGGTCCACAAGAAGGACAGGAAATTGGGAGAGTTACACCCAAGTAACTCTGGCATTAGGCAGTATAAAGAAAACTTTGTAAGATTGTTTTAGGCGAAGTGTTGAATAATTGATTTAGACTTCTATCCTGAGAGCCATGGACTGCATATTCCCCACGTAGAATTCTTATTTGGTATTTCATTTTAATGGGATGTACTGAGCTCCTCTGTGCCAAGTCCTAAGGTACTTGTTAGGGACATAAATATGCGTGAGACATTGTGTACTCACAATCTATCAATGTGGATAAAGAAATGCTAATAAAATATCATGAATGTTTTTGGTGGAATTTCATCACTGTTCAGCTGAGTAGCTTT